CTTCATGCTTTGCCTAGTGGTATCAAGGGTTTTTTTTTTTTTTTTTGTCTTCTTCAGAGAAGATTTATAAAGCAGTGGGGTAGATGGTGCTGTTCTCCAATGGTCTATCTTGAGGAGTTTCCTCACTGGACTAAACATAACATAATTTCTCTGTAATGCTACAGTGGAATCTTGGAAAAACATAATGTTCCTCCTGTTATGTGCAATAGATTCTTCTTTAATTGCAGCAGCTAAAAAAAACCTTCTATCTTTATAGATGTGGAACTGAACCAATGAAGTTTATGGTCTCTCACTGTCAGCAGGTTTAGTGAAAATTTATAGTATACCTTCTCTGTTCTGAGCATGCCATTTTCTGCTGGAATACTTACTAAAATTGGAAACCAGTGCTGAAAAAAGAAAACAATATAGGGCTAGGAGCATTGCTATCGTTAAGGGTTCCTATAATTTGAATAGTTTTTATGTTGCAACTGCTTTTACTTTTACCTCCCTTTCCCTCAAACCATCATTGTATCTTTTCTAGAATCAAGAAACTATATTTTAGTCATGCTGTTTTTTCCTCCACTTTTTTTTTCTCCCTGTAAATTGAACTTGTTCTTTGCCATTCCTGGTTGACTTTCAGGACTTTTAATTAACTGAAGATGGCCCTGGAAATCCCCAAGCCTTCTTGTTGTTATTTAGATAAGTTAGGGTAGTATTTTCTATAGTTATTGTCCGTCTATTCCTTTTTCTGTTTTGAAGTCATGCTGGGCATCCCATCACATTATTTACAATCAGTGGAAGGAGGCTACTTCTCTTGCTTTTGTGCTGTGTTCTGGATTTTGATTTCAAGTATATTCCAGATGTCTATTATGGTTAAATCCTGAATTTAATTCAGGACCCACCTATTTCTACCTGGTGAGGGTACTGGATTGATGGTCAAGCTGAGTCAAAGCATGCTATGACTGACTGCTAGTTTGAGCTGATCTATCTAGTTAGTTACATAGTCTAGCCAGGATAGAAATATAAAAACTAGAAACAAACTGTGTGCATCAGTTTGCCTTCCTTCAGAGTTTGCCTTCAAAAGCGGATCTAAACAGCGCTAATTTAGCACAGAAATGTGATTTAATTTTTGATTTTTCTGTTTCGTATTTTATTACTGTAGTTGAAAATGAATCTCTCACTTTTCAAAATCTGAGTTTGGAATCAGCTCTGACATAGCTAGAAAAACAAAAGAGAAAGCTTTTTTTTTTTTTTTTAAGAACAGAGGATTTAATCCTCCTTTAATCCTCCACTTCTTACATTTATTTAATCAGTTAATCAGTTAATTTCCCATTTCATTGAAAATGATCTTCATAGTTTCAGGAACTCATCTTCTATTCGGTCTCACTAAAAATCAGCATGCATGAAGGAATTTATGCTTTGATCTTCTCTGCCAACACGTACTTAGTGCTCCTCACTTCCAGCGGGCTGTCCCCTTTTCTTTTTCAGTATTGGATTGCTATTGTCTCTTATCTTCCTATTTCTGACCTGTTTTAACTCAAAACCAGCACTAATTTTATTTGAACATTCCTAAACTTCACAAATATAGCAAAGAACCCATCTACCCTCAACTCAAATTTAGCTAATCTTTGAAGTCTGCAGGACCAGTTTGCCTCTCTATTTTATGAGGGTGTAAGACAGGCAGAGATGTTTTTCTGCTGTTGTATATGTGCTCTTTAACTCCAAAACAATAGGAAGCCTTTTTTTAATTATTATTATTTTTAAGTGAGAGGAATATATAGAGCGTCTTGGCTGCAACTGAATACATGTTAGTGGAGAACTTATCAAATCTTAGTAGCTACATTTCAATGTTTTTGAAAATCCGAGTCAGGCACTGGAAATGAAGATGCTGCAGCACATCGTTTACATTTAGTCTCTGAAGATACTACACATTTTTTTTAGCTATACAGTGAGGCAGATGATGCTCTATCAGATCTGCATAAGTTTATAGGTATACATAAAAGGGGGTTTAGTGTAACCATGGTTTTGAAAAGAATGTTGTTATTTACTGGAGAAAAATACCAAATATTATTGCTATATCCTCTACAGATTTCTGTACTAGGTTCATAAAATGTAAAAATTGATATGTAGCGGTGAAAATGATTAAACTGAACAGTGGATTAAGTCCTAGCCTTTAAGCACAAAGGCCAGGTTTTAGAAATTTAGATATCATTTTTTTGGTAAACTCAAAAGCAAACATATTCAATCCCATCTCTAAAGCAGGGTGAAATTTAGTGTGTTGATTTGGAGAAAGTAGAGTCGTCATCACAGAACACAAGGAAAATAACCTTTCTGATTCCTTCTAGCGCTTCTCACCTTTTAAGTATCTAAACAAAATACATAGTATGTAGAGTCAAAAATTTACTGTCCTGGGATCGGGCTTGATTAACCACCACCTCTTGTCTTACTCCCATTGACCTTGCCCTTTCCTGCACCCTCACTCTTTTCCCTCAAAAAAATGAATCCAAACATTTCAGGTCCCTGTCATAGGGATGCTCTGCCAACCCTCAAGACCTTGTTGGTGGTGCAAACGTTTTTCCTGTTGAGACGTGTACCAGGCTATGTGCTGCAATGATACTGCAGCTATTGCACAGCCTTTTCAGGGGACAGGATTGTAACCTTCCACACTTGCCTGTGGAAAGCTGGTGCCAGGGACTCTGGTTAAAGGGGCACATAGCAAAAATAATGTTGCTTTTGTTTAACTATGCAGTGTGTTTCAATGCTATTTGTAGATGGTGTCACTTTAAAATATTTGATCTCCCTAAAAACACACATCTCCTCTCAAATGGTTAATCAGATTCTTAAATGTGTGTAAGGAGCATTGAGTTTGCACAGGATGCCCTCAGAAGTCAAATCTGTTTGTGCGCCCTTGTATCTTCCTTCTTCTGGATAGCTGTTATTCTGTAGTATTATATGTCCATATAATGTTTCCAAAATATGGTAATATCAGATAATGTTTTATTAAAGTCTGTATGCAGCTGTAGAAGTAGGTATTTTCTTATTATGGCAGATCGATCCATATTAATTCTCAGATTACACAGTATGAGAAAATGCGTTTTCCTTGTATTCTTGAAGCACAAAATGAAATCCGTAAGAGTAACTGACCTTATGCTTGTAACTGTCATTCAGTTCAGCCTGTGCAGCTCAGCGGACTGGCTGCTGAGGGCTATGCTCACTTGCTGTTTTGCGAGTCTCTGCAAATACACATTCACCCACTCTATGCAAACATGCACACACACTCTTTTTTTTCTCTCACACTGCCTGGCAATTTGTCAGAATAACTCTTCGAAGACTTTTTGAACTGCTAGGTAGGATTTTCTGATTATTGTTATTTTTTTAACTAGGAACATGTTTAGTCCAGTGTTATTTAAACAGGCTTATCTCTGATCAAAGTCTACAATCTGAAATTTGAACAGGACAGGGAGGGTGGTGAGTGGGGAACTATCAAGCACCTATTTATGTGTGTGCTGTTGTCTTAGCTGTGTGTATGCAGAGGTACTAATGTATATTATTTCAGTTTAGTCTTGCAGATATAAATAACTTTTGTTGTTTTAGTAGCTATGAAAATATAGTGTTAATAAATAAGATAATTTTTAGTAAAGTTATCCTGAAGATATTAGTGACCTACATACTGAGATTTTCAGTTTCTTTGGTTTTTTGAAGGTTGAGCTGAGTAACTGTGGAGTTGCTTAAGTATAGCACAGGCTTCATTAGTGTGGAAACCATACTCACTGGAGCCCTTACATTAATGTGTTTGGGCTTGGCATTAACCTATCTATCTCACTGACTGGACCACAGACCACAGCAATAATGCTAAAGAACTTGAAACAGTTTTTAGAGCTTTTCCTTTCATTGGTTCAGGACAACTGGTTTATGCAAAGTTAAAATTATATGGAATGAGATTGCAAGATGAAGCATGCATGCCACACCTTTTCATTATGTTCGCTCTCCTTTTTCTTTTTCTAAATATAACTTGAGAAACATTTCTGTTTATTTTACAGTTAATCCCTTGTGATTATTTTAGATTACTTGATTTTCCAGTCTGATTTCAAAATTCAAGTTTGCTGAGCTTCTGTTTATGGGAATAGGCAAAAGAATTTCCTTCATTCAATCACACGCCGTGTAATCAAACCATTTTTTTTTCCTGTTAGGGTTTTACTATGATAAAATCTGTATGAAGCTCTGTTTAATCATTCTGCAGCCTCAGAAGAAGCAGACAGATACTAGAAAGTTAATCTAAAGCTTTCCCTCATGTTTTTACTGTTGCTTTTACACTTAGGGTAGTTGCTGCAAGTTATTACTGATTACTGATGTTATTACTGATGAGAGCACATTGTAAAACTTTTCTCCTACATAGCTATCACACATCCTCTGGTTTCTGCCAGCTAGTTTTATTGACTGAGGCGAGTGACACACACACATACACACAAACAAGCGTGCACACACATTCTGCTCTGCCATATCTCAGTTACAGCACAGTCCTACTCAGGGTCATTACAATGTACACATTACATATTTCTAGCAAACACGAAAATGAATCAAACAGGAGGAGAGATAAACAGAGATAGATTGGAGCCTGCTGAGGAAATAAAAGGCAGTAATCTGCCTGACCACTGGACTAGTCTTCCTGGTTTGATTTAAACGTTCTTTTCCGTTAGGCGCTCTGGAGCGCTGGCTACCCTGAAGTAAAAAATCAAAGGACTAGTAAGAATAAAGTAACATTTAGTGGGACAATTATTTGGTGTAACTCCAAAACTAATTGTTTCTGAAGTGATGTTTAAACCAATGTCAGCACAAGGCAAGCGTTCCTGGCTTGTGGCCAGCACCTTTATAATGCATATTAGTGCAGATGAGGAGTACTTAAAAGTTAGAGAGAGAGGGAGTGAAGGAGAGATTGAGAGAAGGAGAGAGGGAGGGGGGAGAGAGAGAGAGAGAGAATGTGGTTTTTAGTGCTCACTCTGCCTTTGATTGTATCCTCCTCCTTGCCGAGATTAGATGAATACCTGTGCAGTGCTGCTTTAGTATGATTTCTGCTGAGCCTCAGAATAGGTTCTGGTCTCTTTTTTAGGTGGACTGCCAGCTGCTGATCTCGCTGTTGACAATAAAAGCAGATATGCTCCTTGCGCACTGCCATTAGCAATGACCATGACCCTTCACACCAAAACCTCTGGAGTTACCCTGCTGCACCAGATCCAAGGCACGGAGCTGGAGACACTGGGCAGACCTCAGCTGAAGATCCCTCTGGAAAGATCGCTCAGCGACATGTACGTGGAGAGCAACAAGACAGGGGTTTTCAACTACCCAGAAGGGGCCGCTTATGACTTTGCTACCGCCGCACCCGTGTACAGCTCTACAACTCTCAGTTATGCCCCTACTTCTGAGTCCTTTGGGTCCAGCAGCTTGACAGGATTTCACTCGCTGAACAATGTCCCACCAAGCCCCGTCGTTTTCTTGCAGACAGCACCCCAGCTCTCCCCCTTCATCCATCACCACGGCCAACAGGTACCCTATTACCTTGAGAATGACCAGGGCAGCTTTGGAATGAGGGAAGCTGCTCCCCCAGCCTTCTACAGGTAAATGCTACATACAATAATTTTCCTTTCTTTTTTCCTTCTTTTTTTTTTCTTTAATAATATATGAAGAGAAAATTATGTATGCACTAAAACGTGTGTGCACTGAACTTCTGTTATGGGTAAGGGACCGTGTAATGTGATTGAACCATCCATGATAACTAGACCGTAAAAAATAGTGCAGGGTAAAACAAAACTGCTATTGCAACTCTAAGCTATAAATTTTATAAACTGTATGTATATGAGAAAGAAATTAGATGAGTATGAGTGTTTCCTGGGAAAACATGAAAACATGATTGATTGAAGGATGGAAGACTCCCTATTGCAATATATGTATTAGAATAGTTATCTCAGGTATGCTGAGAAATACTTCTGCCACCACACTTTTCTAGCTATGAGTGGTTGTTCAGCTCTTAGCTGAGAGGGGCTTTCTCTGCTTTGTCTTGCTTTAAAGTGTGAGAAGTAACTTGTATAGGGAGTAACTCGGAGGCACAGTATCCTTCCTAATCAAACTGTTGGAGCTGACTCGGTGGCAGCATTTCAGTCATTAACCACCCTCACAAGCTGCTGTAAGAACTCTATACTTGATAACCTGCATGTATAATTGCAGAAAAATATATATTAACCACAGATCTGACATGCTGTTTTTCAAAGTAAAGGTTTTCTTTTTCTTGTATTTTTATCCCATAACAAACGGGTCATTTTTGCCTGGAATAGAAGGATAAAAGTGTCTTAGAACAGGGAGGAATTGATTTATTTGGATTTAATATTTATTGCCAGTTGTGAAAACATTTACATAATTTCTGAAGTGGATGAAGTTGGTAGAACTGTAGCTTACAAGTAAATATAGTCAAACACACCAATATCCACAGTGGTAATATTTGCACATTATTATTAGTAGCAGATTTTTATATCAACAGTTTACATTAGATTCTAGTGAATCAAAGTGAACAGTTAGACATAAATTTTCATCTAAACTTTCTGTTTCTCGGGTTTATTTGGGAGATACAGGTGAGTTTGCTAGAAATGGAATGGGGCTAAAAAAAAAATTAAAACCAAGTTACTCTTTCTCTGTTGTGGACAAAATACTGCCAGACTTATTTGCATAGTATAACATATTGTTGCAAACAGCAATATATGTCCTTAAAGAAAGTCTAATTCAGCCTGAGTAAAAACAGCTGTATCTGCTCCAAAAAAGCAGATGATGATTGCACTTTTTGAAAATGATTAATCAGGCTTTGGGAGGAGACAGTATACAGACTGGTGAAAAGACAGATAACGGTTATGCCAGACAGGCCAGCAAAATGACCTGTTAACTGAATTGATTTGAACAAAATGCATTTTATACAATCAAATGTATTACCTGTAGCAAGAGTGAATACATGTGGGGAATAAAAATTGTGAGAACTGGTGATTTTAGCATTAAACTGCACTTTATCTAGATCACAAGAGTTTTAACATGAATATCCCATGCAAACTTATGATGAAAAGGGTGTAAGTGACCTTAGATGTGCAAACGGGAGTTTGTGAAGTTGATATATGCAAGCAGGGCACATATAGTATATTTGGGATTTTTTACTTCAATAGAATAAAAGAAAATCATAAGAAGAATCATCTGGAAGGAAATGCTGAAAAATGGAAATAATATCCTTTCAGTTTTTAAACACTGAATTGAAGGGAGACACTTAAAAATAACGTAGTTTTTTAAACAGTGATGTTTGAACAAACATGTAAGAGCAATGCTGGATTCCCCATCTCTTGGTATTTCTGATATTCCTAGCCATATACAATTGATGGGGCTTAATGCAGGGGTAATTAGGTGAATTTATGATCCTGAATATGCAGGTGGTTTATCTGTGTACAGAGTTATAGAAATGATTTAATGGCCCCTTCCAGCTGTAATTCTGCAAAGCACATTTTATGTGGTAATAAGAAATGTGCATCTGAGTACTTGCTATGATTATCTTGTGTTAACAAGCTCAGTATTGTTGGAATTAAATTGATAAAAGCATTGCTGTTTTCATTTCAGCAAGATTATGTTTACAAAGTTATCATCATGACAACATTAAGTTTTAGCTCTTTTTTTCCTGTAGTTTGGCACAGATGTTAACATAAATGGACTGTTTAAAAACAATTTGAATATGTGGTCAGTGTCTGTGGAATATTTAAATATCTAATCATGAGTTTTAACAACAAATTCTTCTGAAACTATTGTAATATATGAATTTCCAATTTGCTATATTAATTGGACTAATCTCATTGGTTTCATTTGGATTATGGTAGAGAAGAAAGCATGGGACAGTGCAATCTGGGAATGAATAAATTGATACTGAAGATTAGAAGAGATATAACTACCAAAATAGTGGCTTTCTGGAACAACATAGCAGTAGGAGTGCTGAAGACAAAAAATAGCAATCCAAAAGCACTCACAAAATTTAAAATGGATCACGATCAGTTTATGATACAGTTGTTTGCTGCTATAGTAAATAATGTAACCTAAGACCCAGAAAGATTGCTCCGGAATTCTTATCCGGAATGCTTTTTGTGTAACAGAATTGTGCTTTTTGCACTGCAGCATCCTGTTGTGCTGTGGACTTAAGATACAAGTAATGCATTCTTTGATACAAGGGTCTAAAACGATAAATGCTCATTGTAGGCCAGAGAAGGAATTAAACTCCATTAACGCTTTCATAAAATGTTAAAAAATCTTTACTAAATCAAAATGAATGTTAGGAGGAAAAAGTTAAATGTGGTTTGATTTATGAATAGACATTCAAAATTGTGCTCAGTAAACAGACATACAGTTACACAAATACTAATTCAGAACTTATAGTTCATTGCTTTCAAATTAGCTTTCAAATTATGTTTCCATTTCAAAATACTTTTTCTGCCTTTTATTTCACATTAATGACAGATTTCCATATCTAGCAGAATAGGAAAACACAAGAAATACAGCAATCTTCTTCTCTCTGGAGTTTCTAAGTAAGGGAACAGCAGGATTTGAGAAAAGAGGAGGCTCAATTAATTCGAATTGTGCTGTCTTTAACTTGTCTTTTATGTCTGACCTTGTGGATGTTTTTATAGGGAGCCAAACTAAAATACCTCTTTCTTATCTTACAGTGTCAGTATCTTCCAGTAAGGGGGAGAAGGCATAGCATTGGTTATGGTTTTAATTTTCGCCACATCTTAGGTACATTTTATTTTCTCTATCACTTTGTTAGCAATCATTTTTATTAGATGTTGAGTATTCGTTGATAATTATTAAAGAAAATTATTTGCTCAGGGCTGTAAACTAATTATACAATTTCTTTTGATCTTAACTGCTATATTTGAGTTTTGGTCAAAATATTTCCTTGTGCACTTTGGCAGGTTTTGATGCATTCAGAGAAAAACAGAGAAGCCATTCGGTAGTTAATTTATCTCAGTAAATTCCTATAAACAACAGAAGATGAATCCTTTTTGTTGTTCCCACATGTGATATTCTCTGTGTTATCCCACAGAGTTTGCACTTTTTAGATCTGGAATAAAATCTTGTCTGTATTTCAGGCTTTCTGTAGTGAGTTTGTTGCCACTTCCAAATCTCCCCCAAACCCATGCAGAGACAGACTGCAGCTACTGAAATTAATACTGAATTATTATAAAACTGTTGTTCCAGCTGATATGATAGCAACTTTAGTTTTTAATGCTTTCTAAAATTAAGAAATAAGTTTGCAAATGTAGACAGTTCCCTCTTCTGATGTAATTCATAAACCCATCATAGTTTGAAAAGTGAAGTAACTTAATCTGTTTTTTTGTTTTGTTTTATTTTGGTTTTGTTCTTTTTTACCTTGTCTGATTCATTATTAAACTCTGCGGCTGCTCCCACTGAGTTCTAAACAGACTTTTTTTTCCTAAATTTTAAAGTTAAAAGAAGGTTACAATGAATGCAAAACAAAAGGACATATTCTTTTTTACATCGTGAGGTATTTCATACGGGAATAACGAAGTACTGTAGTGGACATTTTTGTTTTATTGGTTGTTTTTCTGTAAAGTGTCAATCTGCTTTAAGTTTCTCACTAAGCATCAGTATGTATGAAGTTTGACCACAGTTTCTTGAACACTCAAGATGTTTATTTTTTCAGGGCTTGCCCTGATACCCCTATCAGTTTTACAATAGGTGTTTGTAATGAAATATATAGGATAACTCCATATTTCCTTATCTTATAGGAGTGCTTTAAAGGTAAACCTGTTAAATGTTCTGAGGTTCTCATATATTACAGTTATGTGGGTCATGTAAATGCCAATATTATCTGTCATTGCAGCTGTCCATGGGGAATATGTTGGTGCAGATCACACAGCAAGTGTGCTTGTACTAACCCATATATTTGAAGAGCTGCACCTTCTCATACTTGTAAATAAGGCTAGGCAGGGTAGAAAGGGCAAAGGAGTAGTGACACTCCCACAACTATCCCTTTTTGTGCCAAAGTAGGGAGATGGGTCTCACCTGATCTCTTTGAGCTCTCTTTTTTGATCAGTTATTGAGAAAAACTTTTTCCACTTCTTTAGCTGAAGTATTTTCTGCATGATCTGCAGGCCCAGAAAAAAAATGTTCTAGATACCAAATTGTTCCCATGTGGATTTTAAACTATTGCTGAAAGCCGTGTTTGTTCAAGCAGCTGGTGTCGATGGAGTTCATCTGATTAAATGCGGGCACCTAGGGCTTGGTTCAGGTTTCTGCTCATAAGGCATCTGGTGCCAACTGAGAGGCTGTGGGGTCTGATAGGGCTGTTGGATATGACACAGCACCGGGCATGCACCTGTGCCTTTCTGGAATAGTAGGTGGGTGACAGTGGGGATCATCACTGGGGAGAGTTCACATGGCATGAGATGTGGACAACATCACCAGACCTTTACAGTGAGTCACTTCATGACTCTCTTTTTAGTTTATGGAGACTCAGAGGGGAAGAGGCACTCTAAACATGTACTTTATTTCTTCATAAGATACATGGTTAAAATAGTTGAAG